TCAAGGCCAGCCTGGTCTACATAGTGAGTTCCAGGACAGCTGGGGCTACAGGGAGACCCTGTCTCAAAAAGACAAAAAAAAAAAAAAAGTTTGGAAAACTCTTAGTCCTAAACATTGAGTAACTTTCTATTATGTACAAACCCCAGTCCTACCTTGAAGGAAACAAAAGGGCCACTTTCCCCAATATTTATTTGCATATTTTTTTGTTTTCATTGTATATATCATCTAAATGATGATAAAGCTTTTAGGAAAACAACAGAAAAATGGCAGGGAACAAGCTGATTATCATGTGTGGAGTGTGAAAACAATTCCAATTGTAAAAGTTAAAAGCACATGGGAGCTAGAGACATGGCTCAGTGGTTAAGGGCTCTTGCTACTTTTCCAGAGGATCAGAGTTCCGTTCCTAGCACTCACCTCAGGCAACTCACAACTGCCTGAACTCTAGTCCTGGGACTGAAACGCTCTTCATGGCACCCCTACACAGGTGGCATACACATACACACACAGGCATATACATAGAAATAAATATTAAAAGCATAAATTTTGCTGTTCACACTGTATAAGCAGATATATTAGCAGTTATTAATGCTACTGTTATTACTGAGACAGGGCCTCACTATGTAGCCCTGACTGGCCTGCTTGCTTCTGCCTCCTGAGTGCTGGGATTAAAGGCATGCACTGTCAAACACAACCTAAAACCTTTTTTTGATGGCCTAACAGGTTTTTTTTTTGGTTTTTTTTTTTTTTAAGCAGAAATTCTATGCAGCAGCCAAATGCTCACATCAAAGGCAAGTGTGGGCAGCTTGAAACCATTGCTGATCGCACACCTGGACTACACAGATGGGAGTAGACACCACAGAGCACAAGATGTGCCTCTATACCCCATCCTTCTCAGGGATGGGGAACCAAGGATCAGCAAATCTTCAGTAATATCAACAAAGTGCCTACCCTACCAAAACCACTGTTGCTGAGACTCGTTAAGGGACCACAAAAGCCCCATGACCTTGACAGTACCTCTAGAACACAGACCAGCTTCATGCAGACCCCACTGGCCTTCCAGCCAGCACAAAACACTTACCTCCAGAGCAATACCACTCCTCTTAAGAATGCAGCAATCCCAGAAGTGGCTTGAGGGCAGAAAAGCACTGGTTGGCCCCAATCTTGTTTCTTTAGGTGGTGCTTCAGACCACTGCTGTTAACAGTGGACATAAGATGTTATCAAATAGGAAATGGCATCTTTTTTAATTTTTTTAATTTTACATGTATGTGTGTGTTGCCTGCATGTAGGTAAGTGCATCTGTGTTGTACAATGCCCACGGAGGTCGGAAGAGGCTGTCGGATCCCCTGGGACTGGAGTTACAGACAGTTGTTAGTTGCCCTGTGGGTGTTAGGATACAAACCTGGGTCTTCTGCAAGAACCACCAGTGTTCTTAACTGCTGAGCCAGCCCTGAAATAGCATCTTAAAAGTGACTCACTCAATAAAATAGGCAAATGTCCTCTTTATCCAAGAGGGAAAGGGAGAACAAGTATTGTCCTTTTAAATGCCCCAGGGCTAGGGATATAGCTCAGTTAGAAGATCAAAAGCCATGCATGCAAGAAGCCCTGGATTTGATCCCTAGTACCAAATAAAATCAGATGAGGGAACTGGAGAGATGGTTCAGTAGTTAAGACCACTGGCTGTTCTTGCAAAGGACCCTGGTTTGATTCCCAGCACCCACATGGCAGCTAACAACCATCTGCAACTCCAGTTCTAGGGCAATCCAATACCCTCTTCTGACCTCTGCTGGCACTGCATGACACAGGGGCACTTACACATAATACAGGCAATATACTCATACACTAAAATATTTTTAAAAATATAATCAGGTGTACTGGCCCTTGCTTGTAATCCTAGCACTTGGGAGGTGGAGGCAGGAAGATCAGGAGTTTAATATCTTACTACAAAGTGAATTGGAGGCCAGCCTAAGATCCATGAAACCCTGTGGGAAAAAATACAATAAATAAAATTCCACCCCCAGGGGGGCTAGTAGTCACAGGAAATCTACAAATCTCTAAAGGTCTATCTCCCCTCCTTGTAGACCAGGCTGGCCTTGAACTCACATAGATCCACCTGCCTCTGCCTCCCAAGTGCTGGGATTAAAGGGATGTGCCACCACGTCCAGCCTCATCTTTTTTTGTAAACTCAAATTTTATCAGGTTTAGCAGACAGGAGCTACCGTAGAAACTCCAGCTGCTCCAAGAGCTTGTGCTCCTGCTCAGACAGGACGTAATACACTGCATTCCCAGAATTCTCAAGACCCACACTATGAGGTGAAGCAGCACCCCAACAGTGTTAACAACCAGCTGTGTTGATGTTCTGTGCCTTGTGGGGAAAACTCACCCCAGGTTTTCAAGTTGACTGCTCAGTTTGGGTTTCAAATGGCAATCTCCAAGGTCACAAATGTCACTCTCTCCATAGTTCCCAATAGCACCTCAATAATGAGGGTAACCAAGTCTGGGCACTTGGAAGTCTGATGCTTTGGTTCATCTAAACACCTGATGGGCACATCTACCTTTCAAACAAGGTCTACTTCCTCAAGAGCAGATTGGGTATCAAACAGGACATCATGCCAAGCTGGGAAGACAGTATCTTGCCATATTCTGAAATATCTGCACTTTGTCTCTTTCAGGAAAGCATGCCTTTCCAAGACAGTCTTTTAAACTCAGCAGTACACTCAGTAGCTGCAGCATGAGGCTGAAAACCAGGTGTCACCTCAGCCTGGCACCTCAGCACAGCATGCAGGCCCACATTCTGAACTCCCTCTGGGACAAGAGTGAAGCAGGTAGTGGCAACTGGTCAAAGCTCAACTCGTTTGTGGAGCTATTGCCTGGCACAAGTATTTCCTAGGTGGCAAGCACCAACTGATGACATTGCAACTTATAACCACATTCAGTCAGGACAGAAGCAGTTAAAAGTACTGTGCCCAAGCCCACAGAGAGCAATGTGCTGTACCATGTCCTCTAGACACCACCCTTCTGCCTTTGAACAAGATACAAATGGCAAGATGTGGTCCTCAACCAAGATTCTAAAGCCTTTTAAGCTGAGAGACATGAGGGGCAAGTGTGATGACACTGAAGCACAAGTAGGAAGTATCACCAGCAGGTGCCTGTTGCCAAAGCTACCTACCAGAAATCCTCCCAACAGCAGTCCTGCAAAGGGGCTGCTTGAACTGCCCCACAGTTGTCCCATCACTCATGCAGCTTTCTTTGAAGCACAGAAGTTAGTGGAGCTATACTTGGGTTTCAACACATCATTTCTGTAATTTTGGCTTGCTTATGAATACAGTCACAAAACCAAGCATTTAAGTGCTCCCCAAGGTAAGTTAGCCCTGCAGTATAGTCATCCATGCTTGACCCTGCATCTGCCACACATGGCAAGGTCAGAGCTAGTCAAAGCCAGGTTGCCAGACATTTGAATCCACGTGGCAATCTACATCTGAGGCAAGTGGTACGGATGAGATGGAAGAAATTTGCATTCACAGGGCAAAGGGCTCACTTCCATTAGGCTTCTAACTAGTCCAAGCATTTCAGAAGTTCATCAAATCATGAGGCCAAAGCCCAGCAGAGCTGCCAATTCACAGCACAAAGGAGCTCCATGGTCTGGGGACCCAACCAGCATCAGCTCCTCACTGGCCAGCTGTGCACTCAACCCAACCTTCCCATACTCACAGTCACAGAAGATGACGGGGAGACCACAAGTGCAGGTTGTACAGGTTTATTTTTGTAATACCGAGACAGACAAGAGCAGTGCTTTTCTCTGAGCAGCCCCATGGACCAGACCACTGTCAAGTAGTTCACCTCTGAGGCCCTGAAGGTCTCAGAGGGAAGAGACTTGGACATGCTTGGGGACCCTGCTCCTGGTCTTTGGTAAACAGACTCTTGAGCTGACAACTTGGACGTGTCAATACTGTATTTAAATCACATCATTGATAACTCCTCACTCATGCTTGATGACAGAAAAAAAAAAAAGCCACCTCAGATGAAATGGGGAGGTGGGGGGGAGCAGCTTTCAGATGAAATGAGACTTGCCCAAAGCATATAAATCTCACATCTCATACTCCACACAGAAGCACCCATACAGGGAGATAGGCCCAAATTAAACATGAACGATCAACTCTGCATTAAGCAGAGATGTAAGAAACAAGGTGGGAAGTGGGATGAGGTCAGACAAATACAGGGGTGTCTAGCTGCTGGATGTTGGGAGAGAAGCAGGCAGCAGGCATGGCTGTTTTCCCTAAACCTACTGTCAACAGTAAGTCAAAAGGAGCCCAGTGGTTCCCAATATTGCTTTGTCAGGTGATGACCCTGGAGCCAGATCCAGAAGGCCTATCTGAGAGCCACTCAAGGAACTCACCCATGAATCCAGAAGCACTTAACACTGGTGGTGGTGATTTGTCATATATGGCAGCAAGCAGACATTAAAGGCTGGAGGAGAGAACAGATATGAAGAGCAAGACGTGTTTGCTCAGTGGTGTGTGAGCAGGCTGTCCATGGCGATGCAGGCTGTGGTAGATTCCCTGGTGACAGGTGACAAGGCATAGAGCCAACCATAGATCACACGTCAGTCACTTCCCTCTCACGTCAGGTAGCATGGAACACAGTGGCTCTGACAATCGGTGTACAGAAGTGAATTAAATGACACCGCTTTAATGTAATGGTGCTGAAGACGTAAAATAAAGAAGAAATGTCCATGTTCTCTATACAATACATCCATTTACAGAATTGGCCGGTACTGTGTACAACATATAAATACAGGATAAAACATTAGGTACATAGAGCATACTTACAGAAGCCAAAAAGTTCACTTTATACATCCAAGAATAAAGAGTTAAAAATATAAAAATAAGAAAACACACTGCTTGGAAATGTAAAATGACTTTCACATATACAGGTGTCTGGGTGCCCACTCCCAGAGTCCAACATGATGAGGTGGGTGGCAGGCAGAGGAGTCACCTGCAAATACCTGTAGTTAATTTACAGGGTCTACAGATAGCATTTCCATAGGAGACAGCCCCATCTCCAGACCCCATTGTCCAAGTAGGGTTATTCAAGCTTCCAAAAGAATCTGTGGATCCAGAGGTTGCAGAGACAACAAAGTTCCAAACTGGGTGAAGCACCAGAACCGAAGATCAACCTGGCTCCATCAACTGGCAAATGACTGAACTGTGACATCAAGAACCGCAGGTGTTTGATCCCCTGGTGAGTGATGATGGGAGTTACATTAACCCTGTGTGGCTTCCCCAACTGTAACTCCCTAAACAATGTAGCAGAAGGGAAAAAAAAAAAAAAAAAAGGCGGGGAAGGGGAGGGGAAGACGACAATTTCTCCCACGTTCAGGAGGAAATTTCTCTCTACAGAGTGAATTCAAGGCCTCACCTAGTGAGGCCCTGTCTTAAAACAAAAAATAAAAAGAGCACTTGCCTAACACATGAGGTCCAGGTAATGTAGCAGAAGGGAAAAAAAAAAAAAAAAAAAAGGCTGGGAAGGGCAGTGGAAGACTGACATTTCTGCTCAGTTCAGGAGGTAAGTTCTCTCAGTGGAGAACCCAACTTTCTTGCTTCAGTTTCAAGTTCATCTGGATGTCAGGCAGGCTGTCCTGCCACACCATACTGCCTGACTGCAAGAGGGTTTGGGTTGCGCCCCCGACACCTCCCCACAAACTCCTTCTAGCCAAGACCAGAAGGGTGACAAGTAACAAGGCTTTAGCACTATAAATTTTAGGGGGAGGCAAACTTTATTTTGCCTAGAGAGAGCCCATTATAGCAATGATATTCTGTATACAGATTTAAGATCAATCATTATCAAAATACACACACTAAATATACAATTTTTCCAATGGTTGTAATTTATTATCTCACCACAAGGCACAATACACAGAGCTTTGAGGGTCCAATACAGTCATCATGACAGAACGCTCCACAGCCTTGGCACATGATCATGGCTTTTAGGCTGCACGCACACTGGAGAGAGATGCTTTCCACTGTGCTGCTGTCAGTGAACATTTGCAGGGAGAGTGATGCACTGTGACTTGCACCGAAATTTGCTTTGTGGCTCAGCTGCACCACACTACCAGCAAGGCCTTTGGGAAAGGTAGGAGAGCTGGAGGAGTAATTAAAGCTGGTGGAACTCAGCTGGAGTTTAGAAAACTTCCCATAAAAAGCTTGCTTGATGTTGAGCTGGGAAGGGATAGAAGGCGGCTCCAGAGGCTGACTGAGCCCTTTCCCTGGCTCTCGGGGTAATTTCCAGAAAGGCAGGTCCATGACAAAAGGCATCCCTTGCAGGTGACCTACTAGTTCCAGAGGGCTGTGCCCAGCAGTTTTTCTCTTCTCTGCATCTGCCTTAAAGGGGCCCCTTGAGGAAACCTTCTCCGTCTTGACACTGCCAGCAGAGGCTGGCGGTGGCTTTGGAGCCCAGTCTTTCCTTGCAGTCTGTACACCATCAGATACAGAGTTTTTGCTTGGCCCTAACTTCCTACTGAGAAAAACTGGAGGGCCCTCAGCAGGCAGTGGTGTCTGGTCTGCAGGCCTGGGGCTCTGAAGGGTGGCAGCATTATTCCTAGGACCAAAGAGCTTTTCTTGACCTCCAGCAATGTTCTGATCATCCAAGGTGCTTCCTGTCTGTCCAGCATCAAAGGAGAGCACATTTGGAGAGGAGAAACATGGCACTTGTGAGGTAGTGGGATCTCCTGGACACTGGCCTTGAGTGGCACCTAGATCACTGCCCTGGGACACCCTCCCAGCGTCCTTCTGCTCCTCACTAAGAAAGGAAGAGAAATGCTCTTTGGAACCCACTTCTTCCAGGTTACTGGAGGAGGGTGTCAGTTTTGTCACTGGATGCTGGGAGTCTAAACCTGGGAACATCTTGGAGATTTGAGGAATTCCACAAGTTTGGGAGGCTTCTGCCCTGCCAAGACCAGTGCTTCCTACACAGCTTTGAACCAGACGAGGCTCATTCAATTCTCGTACAGAACCAGGGCTGCTTCTGGCAACTAGACGCTCATTTTCCCCAGGATTATGTATGGTACTCCTATCCTGGCTCTGCCCTCCAAGAGGTGGTAGTGGGGATTCTGGCTTGTTGCCCCTTTGGTCTGGAGGAAGAACCTTCTCTAGGGGCAAGTTATCCTGCAGCAACTGCATCACAAGCGGTGATGCCTCCACTGAAGACCTAGGTCTGGGTGGGCAGAAAGACCTCGGCTGGCACTCAGTACTGGCCAAAAGCAAGGAGTCTGGGATCTTCTGGGAGACTGCACACACTCTAGACACCCAGCTCTGAGAAGCAACCAGCCCCTCTGTCCTTGTAAGCATGCTCGGGTCACGGTTTACCCTGGATGGTGAGGTGGACTGTCTCCAGTCATGCTTTTCATCCCTGCCCACCAAGCATTCCTTTATCACTGTGGCTTCACTGGTGTCAGCTTCACTGCCGTCTTCAATGAGGTGGACTTCAAAGTCAGAGGCAGTATCTGTGGATTCACTGTGAGGACTCAGTGTTTCAGAGCTGCCATTAATTTTTAGCCTTTCAGTGTCTACATCACTGCCAGTGCTGTCTATACCTCCACCAGGTGGTGCAATCCAGAGTGAAGCACTGCTCTCAGGGAAAGGCATTCCCTCCTTGGCTAACTCCCCAGGCCTGATGGCAACGAGGGGAGCATCTCTCTCCCACTTGTCTCCATCCTGGGGCTCTGCAGATTGTGCATTTTCTCTGGATTCTGGCTCAGACTGTTTGACTACTTCATAATTTGACAGGGTGGGTATCCAAGGAGCAGCACTGTCAGATGCGAGAGTCTCAGTTTTCAAAGCTTCTTGTCTATCACTTTCCCTCATGATGGGGCCTGAATCATCAAGTCCTACTCCATCATCATGTCTGTCCAGCAGGCAGCCAGCCAATGACAACTGAGGTGTAGAAGTGGGTACTATGCTTACAAGAGCTTTCATAGTAGGAGTAATATCAAAAGCCTGGTCAGTTCTTTCTAATACATCTCCCACTAGAGACTGCACAGAACCATTCTCTGGCACAGCAGTGGCTCCTTGCTCATTACAAGCTTCCCAGGAAGTGGTGCCAGACTCATAATCAGTTTTACTATCTAGAAGCAACTTAGGCTGTTCTGCTAACCTCTCAGCCACTGAAGTTTGGGAAGACAGTGGCGGCAAAGCCTGGCATGGCTGGTCTCCAGTAGGAGCAATGGGGGGCTGGGAGGCATCCTCTAGTGCACTTGTAAGCGCATCTGGAACCCTCTGCAGTGGGCAGCTCTCCTCCTTTCTGAGAGATGCTGGGTCCTCTTTCCTGGCTATGGGCATGGCCACTCCAGCCTGAGTGTGTTCTCCATTCAGAGAACAAAGCGGCAATAGTTGTGTTCGTTGTAGATCTGACGCACAGTCTCTAGGGGTGCTCGGGGCTCCCCTGGGCTCAGAGTGACCACAGGCCTCACCACCATCACCACTGCTGTTGCCTCTGCCACCTCCCTCATCGATGGCCCTGCTGCCACCTCCACCCGGGCCACCCCCCCCTCCGATGGCAGTGGTAGCCGCTTCTCGATGGCAGTGGTGGCCTCTCGCCCCTCGGGCCTGCAAAGCACGGGCTTTAATGTCTGCAAGGGTCCTGGCACCAGTCCAACCCCTGCAGGAGGACTCCGTGACTGGGATGATGCGGGGGCATATCTGGTAAGTGGGCCGACCTTTAGCCACCCAGGGTGGTTTGATACGTGAAAGTTGAATCTGTAAGAAAAGCACATAAGAAAGCAGTTTTAAGAGAGTGATCAGACCTGGAAACTAAAAGCAAAACTGGAACTCGAGTACCTTAGGGGTCACGGTCTAGAGAATCATTTTCCTAGAGTATAAAATACTCATAGTAAAATGGCTGTCCATGACACCATTTCATTCTGAGTAGATTCTGCTGAAGGGCCATTTATACTGCACTTCAAATTTCTTCTCCTTCCCTGCCTGCCTTCCTTGAAAACAAGTTTTCATTACATTTATTTGGTGTTTGTATGCACGAATGCATGCATGCCATAACCCACATGTGGCAGTAGGAACAACTGGTGGGAGCTGGTTCTCTCCTTCTTCCACTAGGTTGAGTCCCAAATTCAGGTCATCAGGCTTGGCAGCAAAAGCTCCTTTACCCACTGATACAGGGTTTCACACTGTAGCTCATGCTGGCCTTAATCTTGTGGCAATCCTCCTGCCTCAGTGTCCCCAGTACTGAGATTACAGGGGTGAGCCATCATACTTGGCTTTCATGTTTAATTTCTAATGGAATTGTAAGTCATGAAGTAAATACTCTAACAATATCTAAAAAAACATGAAAAACTCCAAAGGATTTTGACTTCAAGGTTGTATTAATGGGGAGGGGGGGAAGGTGAGGAAAAACTGTCTTACCGTACCTAAGTCAGTCAAGAACAGTTTTTTTTTTTTTTTTTAAAGTCTTTTTGAGACAGGGTCTCCCTGTAGCCCCAGCTGGCCTGGAACTCACTATGTAGACCAGGCTGGCCTTGAGCTCACAGAGATTGGCCGGCCTCTGCAAGTGCTAGGATTAAAGGCGTGCACCACCACGCCCAGCTAAGAGCAGTTCTTAAAAAAAAAAAGCGCTGCATTCCCATGTAATTCATACCACGACCTGGGGCTGTTGCCCTGCCCTCCCCCAAGAGGCTCTACAATCTCAAGAACCTCAAAGGAAATCTGGCACCAGGGACCCTGGGAATCAAACAGTTTCCTACCCGGATGGGCGGGACTTTGGGCTCCTCTTTAGTGGGCTGTGGCTTTTCGGTGTGAACACTTTCAATTGTGTTACGAAAGGACTGACGATCTTCAAGCCGGGGCTTCTTTTCGGGAAAGGATGCAGAAGTTGCCTGCTCAAAGGATTTCCTCTTCTGATCCTTTGGCTCTTGATCAACAGTGTCCTGAGGTAAGCTGGGAATTCTGTCTGGAGATGCAGAGGCACATGCCGAGTTGTCTGGTTCTGTCTGGATCCGGGAAGTCACAGGTTCACTGTGACATTTAGGACCTTCTGGGCCAGGTGCTACAGAGAACACACCTGGCCCAGAGGAACTGCTCACCACGGCTGAGTCAGTCTTAGCTTCCCCATCCTTGGAGGGTGCAGTACCTGGTGCAGAATTTGCATCTTTAGCAGTCCCTGCTTGTTCTGTCTCCTGTTTTTTGTACAGATTCCTTCTGGATCTGGTTCGGAGATCTGGCCGAGATCGTTTCTTAAAATGCCCATCCCGTTGACGGGTAGCTGGACCACGTTGTGGTCGTGCTGGTTGTCCTGGGACACACAAGCCACTCTTGATTTTGGCCTCCTCCCGGGCAATGCTCTGCTGCAATGACTGTTCTTTGGTCAAGCCCAATCTGCAAACCAAATTCTTATCAGTTAAAGGTCAGAGAAAGCTTTGTAAAAATTTTTAGTTTTGCACTCAGATATATAGCTAGAATGAGCTCTACCTGCATGGAGTATAATACTAACTGCAGAAAACAGATAACAGCTTCACTGTGAATAGCATTAAGAAATGAGCAGAGCCTCCATAATCTCCAGGCTCTTATCCACCACAAAAGTAGACTATAGTCATCCCTTGGTATCTAACAACATCCTGCAGATGCCAAAATCCATGGATGCTTAAGTCCCTAAGATAAAATGGCACATGTGTACATAACTTCTGCACATGCTCCTAGATACTTTAGTTTTTTGTTTTGCAGTGCTAAGCAGCCAACCCAGGGCTTCCCACATGCCTGACAAATGCTCTGCCACTGAGGTAAATGCCTTCTTTCCACAGGGTTTTTTCTGTTTTGTTTTGTTTTTTAAAGGGATCTCTTTATATTGCACAGGCTGGCCTTGAGCTCTTGGGCTCAAGCCCATCTCTACCTCCTGAGTAGCTAGGTCTCTCAATCATCCCCAGATAGAACACCCATATAACATGAATGTGATGCTTAGTTATTATACTACACTGATGAGGAATGATAGGTAAACGCCTATACATGCATAGCACAGCTGTAGTTTTCCCTCTGTAGTACTTTCAAGCTATAGTTGCTTGAATCTATGCCTCAAGAACCCATAGATATGGAAAGCCAACTGTCTGAACACTAACTGCCTCTGTCCCTTCAAATGCCCATACCAAGATTCACAAGCAGCAAGCGCCTTACCTCTGTCCATAGTAGTCTTCAAAGAACTTTTCCTTCCATTGCTCCACCTTCTTTTCTTTTTCCATTTCCTGTCGTATCCTGACTTGCATCTCATGAGTGAATTCACCTAGAGAGAAAGACGACTTTTGAATCTGGGATACTGATGTCCGCCCTACAGACAGCCAAATTGGGTGGCTCTATAACCAGCAGCTTGTTGGCATGTGGAGGCTAGAGGACATCCTTCTGTGGTGTTCCCCAGGAAGAACAGGTAACACTCTTAACCTCTGAGCCATCCGACCAGGTCCTCATGCTTGCACTGAGCTATCTCCCCTTGTAAAAAGAACATGTTCCTCTTGCAGTGGCTTTCTCACAGCATGTTCTTAACTCAGGACAGAGTGAACACATCTACTATAAGGGAGATTTACTCTCCTATAATCAGTCAATAGCAAAAAACACAATGGTCACAACAGTGAACCAAAAGAACCATTCTTACTGCTTATGTAGAAAAAAGGTTACCACAGCAGGCCAGATTGCTTATCCGTGAAAGGCTTATGCACAAGGATGGCCATTTGCTGACATCTGGGAACTTGGATTTTCAAACATTTCCACTACCCTAAATAGTGTGCCTAAACTCTTGGTGCTAACAATTTAATTCATGCTAAAAAATACCTGCCTTTCTTTTTAGGAACTGATGCCTTATATTAGTATCCCTGGAGGGAAAAAAAGACTGGTGAAAAATAGTGCTTGGTTTCCTTTCTGAAATAGCAATGCTTCCAACAGGATCAGCTCCCAATAAAAATCCTGGGCACTGAGCCATTAACAAACTTCTCTGGTAGACAGTTCATACACATTGTCACAACCGACTTCTGGGATAACTATGTATGTTGTGTTTGACTCCAAAGAAAGACCCTCAGAAGCTTGTGCCTGCCCCACAATCTTAGCCCACGTCTTCTCCCATTGCTAGTTCTACTTTTTATTTTTTTGCTATAATAAATCAAAGCCCTATATGTAAACTGTAATCAAACAGTTGGTCTTGGAATCCTCTCTACACATTACCCAGGTAGCTTCAATAAAAAATTTAATTCATGGGCCTGGAAAGAAGGCTCAATGGCTAAGAGCCCTTGCTGGTCATGCAGAGGACCCAACATCCACATGACTCCCAACCATCTGTAACTTCAGTTGCAGGGAATCTGATGCTCTCTTCTGGCCTCTGCAGGTACCAGGCATGCACATGGTGCACTTCTATCATGCAGGCAAAATACAACAAAACAACTGAAATAACAACAACAACAAAAAATCTTAAAATTCAGAGAAGCTAGCATTTATTCTAAGTGACTATGCCAAAAAAGACAGCACAGTGGAACTAAATGCCACTGTTCTGGTGCGATTTCTTTCATGCATCCAAGCAATGTCATTGATTTTATTTTATATTTATCTTTTTGAGACAGGGTCTGTCTCCCTGTAGCCCCAGGTGGCCTGGAACTTGCTTTGCAGACCAACCAGGTTGGCCTTGAACTCAACAGGGATCCACCTGCCTCTGCCTCCTGAGTGCTGGGATTAAAGGCGTGTGCCACCACGTCCAGTCTGCAATGCCATTATTTTATATTATTATTTATTATTACAATGCCATTATTCAAGGAACAGGACTTGCAGAATGGATAGCCACACCTAAGGCAGTTAGAAGTCCAAACATCACGTTTTCAGATCTGTGTGTCCAATTAATAACCACCATGTTTATTAGTACTGGCGCAAAGCCTGTCTGACCTTACTTGGGGGAAAAAGTTACAAAAAAAAAGAATGCTTTGATTTTATATTTACTCTTAGCCAAAAGGCTGAGATTCAATGAGTACTTGGATTTTAAATACGAGGAGATACACAAACACACAGGATAGGCATCTCAAGCCGTGTGTGATGAAGTCTACATACCATCAGCCAGGCGTTCCCGCCAGCTCTGAGCCGCATGGGTGAAAAACTCGTTGTTGAGTGCACTGCTGCTAAGGCGCAACAGGCCATCTGTTCCCACCTAGGAGGATCAAAGGATGAAATGAAAACAATAAGGTAACTTGAGAGAACAGGAACCCGCCTAGATAGAGACCAAGAGGAGCTGTGCGCAGGCACCTGTCTGTCCACTTCAGGCAAGAGGAGGAGGAGCTGCTGCTGGAAGTGTGATGGCAGCGCATGGAAGGTCCGAGAGTTTATCAGGGCCCGGAGATTGGTGTTGACAAGAATGGACCCAGGCGTCTCAAAATCTACCTCTTCCCCTCTGTTGCGCTTCATTTGACCTGTGGGTTGGTTTTTTTTTTTTTTTTTTTTTTTTTTTTTTTGTGGAAGCAAGAAGAAGTAAGGGTATAGGTTTTCAGCTTCTTAATAAAAACAAAACCAAACCAAACCAAAAACAACCAAAGTCAACTACTCAATAAACTCTGATGGCAGCACCCAAGCTATCCAGACTTTATTCCACATGTCATCTGCTCTTTCAGTCCATACTAATCTACATGTTAGAACTGCTCTTGCTCTTTCTAGCAGGCTATGATTGCCATCGAACCTGAGAGAGCACTCAAGTCTGCCTCCTCTGGGACAATACTGTGCCTTGTTTTACTGGCCTGAGGAGAACATTCTTACCCAAAGAATCAGACAGGGCAGGTTCTAAGCCTCCTTTTGAGACTGCAGAATAGGCACCACAAAGCCCAACTGGAGAAAGGATGGAAGTTGTCTAAAAGCAAAACTAATTATTATAGTGTAGAAAAACCTACACAGATGGCCTTTGTGAACAAGGTATGATTTCCAGGCAAAAATGTATTAAGAGTTATTCAAAGCCACCTGAAATGTCATACCTCTCAGAAGCCTAAGCAAATATTTCTTTTATTTGAAACAAAACAAAACAAAACACTACAAAGCGACTTTGAGATCTGAGATTACGCACTGCTGCTAAATTGGAAAAGCATCAACACAGAAAACCCCAATCTCATTTGTACATGATTTATTCTAATTTTCAGACTTTCTCAAGCTAGTCTTCTTAATGGTTTCATATGGCCCAACTACAAAAGAACCCCTACCATGTGGGCCTTAAGAAATAAATCCTGAAATAGCAAGTGACCCACTGTGACCAGCACTGAGATTGTTTGTATCCACCAAATTTAACATATGTTTCCACTCAACATAATTCTTGGGTTAAAATAAGGGAGCATCTGACAGACTATGCATGTTGAGGGAAAGCATGGCAGGATGCTACCGAGAAAAAAACAGACTCGGGGATCCTTTACTGAGAAGAAAGCAATTTTCACTCAGTCTCTCAAACACTTATGAAGCAATACCAAGGCAGGCACAGGCCAGGCTCTACAGAGACAGACAAGGAGCAGGGTGGTATCTTCTCTGCCTACAGGAGTTTCCACACATGAAATAAGCAAAATAAAGGCAAAAACAAACAAGAAACAGAGAGTCACCTAAGAAGTAAAAATAAACTGAAAAAAGAACTGGAATAGAAGATACCATCTCCTCAGGCCTGCAGGGCCCCCTTTTAAAGGCAGAGAAATGAGTGCCAAGCCACTCACCTGTGGCTGGCTTCCGGAAGCCTCTCAGGAGCGGGGTAGGGTCCCTGGTGACCTCGGCCTGGCCACGAATAACAGCGCTGCCCAGGGCCAGAGAGCCGCTGCTGCTGCTGGATGGGCTGCCACTCTCACCATCAGTGTGGTGGCCTGAGAACCCTGAAGGCACAGCATTCCACTGGTCAAAAGTATCACACGCTGTACCCACGGCTCTCAGACAAGTTGACTTCTCCCAGATATCCCTGGTAGGTTGTCAACAATACAGGGGTGCTTCTGTCTCCCAGCCCTCAGCTGGCAGAGACTACTACTTCATGGTCTGGCTAAAGAATGCAAACCATAGCTTTCATTTGTACAGCACTACAACTTTTACAAAGCACTGGCACAATCAAGCCACCATCAGATGTGCCTAGCTATCCCTGGAGGAAAAGAGGGCACATGGCAGAGCCCAGCACACGGCAGAGCCCAGCACACACCCTCTCAATATGCTGCCTTCCAGATGATTGGGTCTCATGACTCTCACTCAACAGCTCTATTGGTATCACATTGCTAGGTCAGAGGCTGCTGACAGAGGGAGTCAGGTCCCCAGGATCTGAGAAAAAAGCACCACAACCATGAGTCTACACATACCTGATGCAGATTCCACGTGGGCCCCGTTTACCTTCAGAGGAGTCAGGACAACACGAGGCAGCATGACCCCAGTCTTTTTCTTTTGTTTGTTTGCCTGGGTTCCCAGAAAGGATAAAATGGAGAACCAGAGTCATCTGTAAGAATACTACAACACTCCTTAGCTGTGCCCTACTCATTCTCCTGTAAGAGTTCACGTGAAAAGTGAGATGGCTCAAAGGGTAAATGCACCCATTGCATAAACCTGACTGAGTTCACTCCCTGGCACCCATGGTAGAAGGAGAGAAATGACCTTCAGAGTTGTCCCCTGACCTCATGCACACACTGTAGCAAGCACAAAGGACCCAGATAATAAATTTAAAAAGACTTCAGCTGGATGAAGCTGGATGCAGCTGGATCTGCCAGGCAATGTTAGGAAAGGCCTATATAGACCAGCATCAATGAGTCAAGCAACCCCTCAGCTGGAAAAAAAAATAAAAAATAAAAAAAATCACGCATTGGTTGGTCCCATTCTACAGATAAGGAACTTGCTACGGTCATAAGCAGAAGGGGGCTTAACATATGGTTAACAGTGGTAGAGTGCTTGCCTAGCCTTCACAGCAAATTAGAAGCCAGCCTGAGTTACATGAAGGAGGGAGGAAAGGAGAGGAGAAGAAAGGAAGGAGAAACAGAATTACCCAGGCATGGAAAAAAAAACAAACAAGTCTTTCTGCTTGCAGACCTAATATACAGTTTCCTACAGGATGCTTTTAAATGCTCTAAGGTGACAACAAATTTACTTCTTCTACTCTTTAAAAACATCCCTGACCATCTGCTGAAGAGGGAAGATCCTGGCTTGTGCCTGCCTTCATACATCTACTCTCCCATCATGGTCACCAACGCTGCTCCTTACCTGTGAGGAAGCTCTACAGCTATCCCTGGGACTGGAGAGGGACCGGCTCTGGGATTCTGCAGAACATGATGCATTTGAAGATGTTTCATCAAGAGATACTGAAAGACAGGAAAACGAAGGTTTAGTCCCCAGGGACTGCTTGGTCTCCCCCCCCGGCCTTGTTCTGGTACTTACCATCATTTTCACCACTCACAGTGCTGGCTTCATTAGATCCACAGCTTTCCACATCAGCAGAGTCCTCTGGCTCTTCCCCATCCACTGCAGCCACATTTCGAGACCACTGTAGGGCATCCTTCTGTGACAGCAAGTTAAAACTTAAGGTGAATAAAACCTTTCAAATCCTGCGGCTGGAGAGATGGCTCAGCGGTTAAGAACATTGGTTGTTCTTGCAGAAGACCCGGGTTTGAATCCCAGGACCCACATGGCAGCTAACAACTGTCCATAACTCCAATCCCAGGGGATCTGACACGGGTGCAGTTACCTACATGCAGGCAATACATGAACACAAATAAAATAAAAATAATTTAAAAACAACAACAACAACAACAACAAAAAAAAACCTTTCAAATCCTTTAAGTACAACAGTCATTACTAAATATTTGTTTTTGAAGAAGACAGACTTAGAAGCCTCCCACATCCCCCACACTGGGGATGGGCCTCCAGGGACTCATGCTAAGCAAGTGTTCTACCACTGAGCACAACTCCCCATACACAGGCCAATATTTAAAATATTCTTTTCTTGTTTTGCGGCAGGGTGTCATGTAGCCCAGACTAGCCCCAAACTCACTATGTAGCCAAGGGTAATCCTGAACTTGAACTCCTGATCTTTCTACCTCTGCTTCTACCTTCCAAGTATTGGGATCATAGACATGTACCACCATGCTTGTTTTCATATGGCACTGGAAATTGTACCCAGGGACTTGTGTATGCTAGGCAAGCACTCTACCAACCTCAGCTCTAAAATATTTTTTTTTCATTTAAAAAACTTATATTCTTAATAGGAATCATGTTGTAATTTAACAATTTCAGTTTACATGAGAACTTACTTACAAGTCAATTTGATATCTAGTAAATCATTATTTACTAACAGTTTCCTTAGTATTAAACATAAGTCTATACAGTCACAACCGTCTCATACAATAAATACTACAATGTCATGACAAACCAGTTTTTAAAACCAAGACCTTGATGAAATTCTGATCGGATGTACATAAAAGAAACTCTTAAAAACCAGCAGTACACATACATACAAGTCAATTTGATATCTAGTAAATCATTATTTACTAACAGTTTCCTTAGTATTAAACATAAGTCTATACAGTCACAACCGTCTCATACAATAAATACTACAATGTCATGACAAACCAGTTTTTAAAACCAAGACCTTGATGAAATTCTGATCGGATGTACATAAAAGAAACTCTTAAAAACCAGCAGTACACATACATCCATACACATACATACATACATACAAACACACACACACACACACACACACGAATCTCTCTCACATCTCATCTCAAAGTGGCTGTGCTGAACAAAGCCATACACATTGATGCTAGACATAAGTGAAGTGAAAGCATTTCAAAGCTATCATTTATATTTTAATATGGTAAATTACTTCTGAGTTTCAGACTCAGTAAGTGATGGAAAACAGAATTATACATTTCATTTGCATTCAAAACTAACCAGAGCCAGAAGTTACAGTATTAAAATAAGCTAATGCTTAAACAGTTTTCATTAAAAACTAGAGTATAAGAAAACAGTTTTCATGAGTATGATTCAATGACAGCTGTCTACAGTTAACTCTTTCCCGTAGTAGCATGGAGGAACTTAGAATGAGAGGTGAAAGCACAAGAGCACAGCACACAGGGTCAGGAGCCAGCATGCCAAGTCTGCAGGGCTGGCAGTCTGTGACAGCAACAGCTCAGACTCAGGGTGGTCCTTTGCTTCCTATGAGGAAAAGGTATGCATGGGGCAGGGGGACACTTAAGGAAATAAGCACAAAATCATATCACTGCCAGAGTCTAAGAAGACACACTGTAGCAAACAGTATGAGCTAATTCTCAGAGATGTCTAGAGGTTGTTCAGTGTATGCATAAAGTACATGGTAACTTTTATAAGACAATCATAATGTCTATAAGTAGTTATTCTTAACACATTGTAGTTGTCTCTTTTGTCTCAGGCTCTTCTAGAGGCAAGAGACTGGCTCAAGCCATCTTGAGGATCAGTTCTTACAAGATATCCCAGAAGAAGCAATGTGCTACTGCGTCTAACTCAGGTGTCCTCTAGCCAGAGAAACAAAAGCACATCTCCAGGAGCCTGGCAGAGCTCTTTCAGACATCAGAGACCTCCATTCAAGCCAAACTAAGATTCCTGGTTTCCACTACTGGTAGGAATTTTAGGACTATCTAATATAAAGGCAGTTCAATGCAGACTTAAACATGAGAGCTAAAGGAAAGCATTGCTCCAAGGGAGAAAAGTACAGAGTTATATCTAGGCCAGTAGAGTTTCCAGGGACTAAAAGTGCCCCTCCCCGAAACAGGCCACATCTGCCTACAAACAAAGCCATGCTGCAGGAAAGAGAGAAAAGGACAAAGCCAAAAGGACAGGAAGATCAGTCCCAGAATTCATCTCCAGCAATGAAGATGAGTTAATATATTAAATCAAACCTATAAACAACAGGAGTTCAATTTTCTCAAACCATTTTCAGGCCTTTAGAGGTCTGAAAGCAACACAAACCAGACCGAGAATGTCAAAACCAAAATACTTCCTCTCATGAAACAAAAACAAATCAACCAACCAACCAAACAAACCTAAAAGCTCATGTTTCTTTTTCTCCAGCATTTGATATTTTGTACAACCAGCTCAGATACTGTTTTTGTCTTTGAGACAGGGTCTCCCTGTAGCCCCAGCAGGCCTGGAACTCACTATGCAGACCAGGCTGGCCTTGAACTCAGAGATCCGCCTGCCTCTGTCTCTTGAGCGCTGGGATTAAAGGTGTGCACCACCACACCTGGCTTCAGATACTGTTTTGTATAAACAACTATGAAACACTTAATAGACCTAGGGACTTTGTCCAATAAATTTAAAGATGTTTAGGGTACCCAAATTTATAAGGTCTTTGAATGTACTCTCAAAATATCCTTATTTATAAATCTACACATGTATTTTAATTAGGCATGCCAAAATAAAGCAAAATAAAACCAATAATCTTGTGCACAATAAATGAATGAAAATAGTAACTGAAGTGACCAGTTTAACAGAAACACATGAAGACAATGATCACAGACACACATGACAGAATTACTTGAGATCTCAACACATAAGAAAACTTACAGACATACATGACATAATTCCATGAAATCCCAAACACATGGAAAACAATTATCATAGACACACATGACATAATTCCATACAAACTAGGTGCACCCATAACACAAAAATCAAGGAGTTTGATTAGGATGGTCCTTTGCATATAAGGCACTCATCCTTTAAAGGTGGATCAGAGAACACTTCCTCCATAATCTCCTCATAGCTATGAGGACGTTCTCCCTCCTTTTCTGGTAAGTATGAGCTGGGTTTTAAGGTTCAGGTAGCCTCCATCCAGACTCAGGAATTCTTGTCCAGCACGGCCTGATTTCAAGTCACTGGATTTCACAGAAAGTTTTAATTTAGAGAGTTTTATCTTAATGCCATAATTTCCTGCATAGCCTAGTTTAAAGTTATCCAGCATCACCTGGAGGACAGCCTGGGCCTGACACCTGGACTGGGAGGAACCCATCTGAAATTCTGTATGTGCCTAGGATATATGTAATGTGTGCATAGGAGGGGGTGGAGAGTGTTAGTCTCCCTCATTCAGATGCCTTCCTGGCCGGCCACCTCTCGGTGACTTAAGGTCTTTTTCCCACTAATACCCTGTTTTACTTAAATGGGGCAGGTACCTCAAGATCACATCAAGGTATTATTGTGGTCCTCTTTCCTACCTGATTTGTGTTTTACCTAAATGAGGCCAACACCTTGGAATCACACTGAGGTGTAATTGTGGTCCCCTTTCCTTCCTGACTGGAGGCAGTGTCACCTTGTAATCACATCAAGATTTTGTATGCTACCTCCTGTCTAACCTGGGGGCGGGGGAAGCCATTTCCTGGTCTGGACGTCCATTCTGGGTCTCCGTCTCACTTCACCTGATGAGAGGCTCCGGTCCGGGGCCATGCAGCTCTCTCTCTGGCCTCCTGAAGGAGACCCCAGAGGAAATTCTTTGGGGGTACGCACTTCTCTGTTTCAGAGGCTGAGGGGGGCTGCAGGGTCCAGGAGCAGCAGCCTCTATTACCAACAAGGGTACAGTGACTTGTTTTCACTGGGGACCTCCAGAAATGTTATGGAAATTAATCAGAGATCAACAGCCGAAATCAGGTGAGGAGAGGGAGTTTAATTTGACGCTAGTGGGACTGACATCACAAATCAAGAAGTCAGACCTCTAAAATATTATTTGTTTATCCACACTTTCTCTTTTTACTGTTGTTCTTTGTTTTCCAGATTTGAAATCTAAGTTACTGTCCCTCTGAGCTTTCTCATCAAGTTCTTTTCACAAATATATTACATATTTTTTGCATTTATACATTCATTAAATACACACAGGGTACCTTCTAGATACTACCCTTAGTTCCTGGAAGAGTGGGAAGGAAAGGGAATCAACCATCCTCAAGAACTTCACCTGACTACAGAGAAAACTCAGATGGATTAATACAAAGGACAGTGACAGAGGTGCATAGAGAGCACCCAAGAAGAGGCACCTGCCCACTGCGTCAGAGGAAGGGGGGATACAGATCATCAACAAGGATTAGAGAGGCCAAGATTTCAAGAATGTTGCTTAAGCAAAGTTAAAAAACATTCTTGCAGAGAACCCAGGTGCAGTTCACAGCACCCAACACCAGACCTTAACTTCAGTTCTAGGGTATCCAATACCCTCTTCTGGTCTCCTTGGGCATTAGTCACACATATGGTACAACTACACACATGTAGACAAAATACTCATACACATAAAATTTTTAAAAATCTTTAAAAAATATTTTCTAATTTAGCTTTTGTAATTTTATACAACAGTTTATTTTTTTTTTGGTATTTTTGAGACAGGGTGTCCCAGTAGCCCCAGCTGTCCTGTAACTATGTAGACCAGGCTGGCCTTGAACTCACAGAGATCTGCCTGCCTCTGCCTCCCAAGTGCTGGGATTAAAGGCATGCGCCACTACGCCCAGCCATACAACAGTTTTTAATCAAATTTAGGACCCCTTCCCTAGCCATGCCTCCCCCATCCCTCCACTAGATCTT